TTTTTAAAAAAAAACATTTTATTTGGGGAAATGGCTGATTTTAGAGAACAGTGTGTGGCTTTGAATTTTTGTTTGCTGCTTGGAAAAAAATGCCACAGAAATTGTTGTGATGTTGAACACCGCTTACAAGGACAGTACTGTGGGAAAAACTCAAGTGTAACCAGTGGTTATTTTGTTTCAAAAAGGTGAAATGTTGATTGATGACAACTTCATCCTGGATGACGGTCAACTTCCCAAATGGATGAAATGTGACAGAATTCATGCATCTATGCTTGAAGATTGACGGCAGACCATTGAAGAGATGGGGAAGTCACCTGGACTATCTTGGAGCTGGGTTCAGCGGATTTTAATGACCGAAAAGACCAGATTTGTGGCAGATGGAGGACTGGTTTGCCATCATGACAAGGCAACTGCTTATGCAGCCATCTTAATGTGCCAGTTTGGGGCAAAAACAGCATGCCTCTCTTGCCCAGAGGGTCTGACTCACCTGACCTTGCTCCATGCAACTTCTTTTTGTTTCTGTGAATGCAGAGGGACATGAAAGGACAGCTATTTGACAATGCAGAAGAGGTGAAGAAAAAAAATGAGGGAGGTGTTGTCAGCTATCCAAACAAATGAGTTTGAAAAAATTTTTCCAAGAATGGAATCTCAGATTTGACAAAAGTATTAAGTATAATGGAGAGTACTTAAGAAGGTGATAAGGTTGTTTTGTAAAAAAAAAAAAATTAAATGCATAGATTTGAGGGGGTACCCCCTGACACATACAGTTAGGGAAGCAAATAAGTAAAAAGTTGAAGCCCGCAAAGCTGTAGAATATTTTACAACACTAGCTCACCAAGTAAACCACTATCATGGTTGGAGTCTTGCCACAAATTGCTGAGGTTATAATCAAGAATGAACCACGCAGATTAGTTAGTAAAAAGATGTCCTCCTGTTAGGAAGCTGTGTGCAAATGAAGCAAAGAATAAGGAGAGGTAGAGTCATCTGACTTCTAGTTATGCCTCCTGTGTGAAGGATCTGAGAATCGTTTGGGAGGGGTTGATGATATAAAAGGATCCTGAGTGGCTGAATGGTTAAGCATTTGGCTATAACCTAAAAGGTGAATAGTTTGGACTCACCAGCCCTGCTCATTGGCTCCAATGTCCCTTGGGCCTCAATTTGCCTCACCTTCTGGGGAATCAGAATTCTATTTTACATATAGATAAAACAACAAAAACATTTTACATAAGCCCAGCTCACTTGGATGGATATACCTACAAGGTTATTCTAATTTACTTTTTAAACCTCCTAAGGCACTTCTGTGAGAACGTTCATTATTGTCTTATTACAGTGATGTTTAGAGAAACCTTTTTTTCTTCTTCTTCTGGGCATGAATTTGTTGTTGGTCACAGTATTACCGGTAACCACTCAGTTACCGGAAATACTGTAACTTTGTTAATGTATTTCATTGTAGAATGATTTTTGTAAACACTTCTGTTATTATTTTTATAATGTAAGAAATATTGCATGGGCAATTTATAACTATATTTATCAAATAACGTTCAATAATTAAAATTAAAATGAACATTTATAAATATTCTGTAAGGCCTGGTATGTGGGAGGTCAATAGGATGGGTGAGCCAAACTTAGGGACACCACTCCTGAGCTCAAGAGGTAAAGAATATGCATTATGTATGAAAGGACTAAATTGAGCCTGCATGGTTGAAAACTTAGGTTCTACCCCAAACTCAAAAACTCACTCTCATCTAGTGGATTCTGACTCATTTTGCTGCTGGTGTTGTTTTAGGTGCCATAAGGTGAGTTCTGACTCAGAGCAACCCTATAAACAAGCAAGAAACACATCCTGGTCTTGCTCCATCCTCCGAATTGCTGTTTTTCTTCAGCCATAATTACTATTGTCCAGGAGCTTCTTCTCTTTCACTGCTCCTCTACTGTATCAAGCCTGGTGTCCTTTTCTAGAGATGGGTCTCTCTTGATAACATGTCCAAAGTACATGAGACCAAAATCTTGCCATGTTTGACTCTGAAGAGCGTTCTGGCTGTGCTTCTTCCAAGAAAGATTTGCTCATTCTTTGGATAGTCCATGGCACTCTCAATATTTTTCGCCAGCAGCATAATTCAAATTCATCAGCTCTTCTTCAGTCTTTCTTGTGGATCTCTAACTTTCACATCATACTAGCTTATTGGGTCCGGCACATCTTAGTCCTCAAAGTAACATTCTCATTTTCAACACTTTAAAGACGTCTTTTGTAGCTACTTTACCCAATGCCATGTGTCTTTGATCTCTTGACTGCTGTTTTTTCATAGTCTGTTCTTGGTCTGGAAGGTCTACTGAAACCTGTTAGCTTTGAGTGACTTGCGGTGACCCTGTTGGTATTTGAAATACTAGTGGCATAGCTTCCAACATCACAGCAACACAAAAGCAACCAAACTGTCAGACTGACTCATAGGGACTCAATAGGACAAGGTAGAACCACTCTTGTGGGATTTCCAAGATTTTAATTCTTTATGGGAGTAGAAAGCCTCATCTTTCTCCTGAAGAGTGGTTTGTGGTTTGGAACTGCTGACACTGTGGTTAGCAACCCAACACATAGCCCTATTAACTCTGCACCTAACTTTGGTAAAGGCCTGAGTAGTTAATAACATTTTTGCCTCAGCATCCCTGCCAGAAATTATCACTGCATCAAGCACAATAAATGGAACAGTAAGTATCTTGGACAAACCATGACAGATACTGGATGTATTTCTGAATTGGTCTGTGTATGTGGTCAAAAGTACTTTAAGACTCTACTGATTTAACAAGGATCTGCAAAATCCTCTGAAACAGTGACTATTGGAATGGACACCCCACTTCTGCTCTCTGGGGAGAGGACACATGGGTTTCAAGAGAAACTCCAAATGGTCTATGATGTGTGCTACCTCCGCCTCCC